CTTAGTTGCTTGTGTGGGGATTCTTTAGGTAAATAGGTGTGGAATTTGTGCATATATTTGCATATTAAATAAAAGCGGCATACCTTTACAGACAATGTTTATTATGCAAATATAGCGGTTTTCTTTCTTTTGTGTAATTTATCATTTTATTTGCCATAAAATGAAAAATAAATAAATCAAAGAAAGGTATTCTTTTTAATAAAAAAAAAAACTTATGATAGAAAAAAGTAAATATTTTCGAAACTAGAATTCACTCACCTTATGGGTTTTGCCAGCAAATCAATATTATCGCAGCTTTCCATCTCCAGGCGTTGATATTGCAAATATTTAGCACTAGAAGTGCTAGATCTACTTCCTGAACTTCCGCTTCCGCCTGCCACACCGCCAGTGACCGAGTTTGAGGAATGGCGGCGATATTCCGCAAAACTTTCGCTTTTCCGGAGTCCCGGAATTTTTCCAGAACTATTACGCCAGTATTTAATAACCCTATGTAGGGCCTTTGGGGAGCTAGTATCCGACGTAGAGGCCAATGAGGTCTCACTGCCGCCCACAATAATGTGAGGGCCATGATCCACCAGAGTCCTATAGGAGCTCATTTTAGCACTAAAATGGATTTCTTGTTATCATTTGAATTTCATTATGCAAGTTTGCTGATAAATTACTTACATTTGTTTTTTACTGATAATTATTTTATGCTATTTAAAAAGAATGTCTTATATTTATGTTTTTATGTGTGACATATAGACTTACTCCCCGGAATCACTGTTTTCATAGCATTTTTATGGCACTTTAATGGTCTTTAAATATAATTACGCTAAAATATAATTTAGTTGTTTAATGATTTAATAATAAATACATTAACATTTTTATCACTAAATTCGTTTTATTAATTCATAAGTACAATAATACTGGTAGTAGTATCAGCACTTTTATTTTAGACATCTTTTATATGTATATTTTTTCGAATTTAAAGATTTTATGAATATTTCGTTGAAGAGCTCGGTATTATTCGTTTTTCGTGTTTAAAGTCGAGTCGCGCCGCCTTCGATTTTCCAACTGACCAGCAACAAAGATGGGGACCCTCGGAAACAATACAATGGAGCTGAGCTCCACACATTATCTAGAGCGTTCTCCCTCACTTGTTTTTTTGCTCTCACTCTCTCTGTTTTTATAACTTCGCACGTTTTATTGCTGTATTTTTTTCTGAAATTACTTATATTTCTTGCAATTTAATTATTTTAATAATACTCACTAATAAGATACAGTAAAGGTATATAGAGGTCTACAAAATAGCAAATACAATATCTTCAGTACATCGTATTTTAAATAAATTAAGCAAAGAACATCATTTATTTTCTTTATTATTAAATATTGTTTCAAATACCAAAACAGAGGTATCTTTTATTTCAAAAACCTTTCATTTGAATTTCATTATGCAAGTTTGCTGATAAATTACTTACAATTGTTTTTTACTGATAATTATTTTATGTTATTTAAATAGAATGTCTTATATTTATGTCTTTATGTGTGACATATAGACTTACTCCCCGGAATCACTGTTTTCATAGCATTTTTATGGCACTTTAATGGTCTTTAAATATAATTACTCTAGCTATTTAATGATTTAATAATAAATACATTAACATTTTTATCACTAAATTCTTTTTAATAATTCATAAGTACAATAATACTGGTAGTAGTATGAGGACTTTTATTTTAGACATCTTTTATATGTATATTTTTTCGAATTTAAAGATTTTATGAATATTTCGTTGAAGAGCTTGGTATTATTCGTTTTTCGTTTTTAAAGTCGAGTCGCGCCGCCTTCGATTTTCCAACTGACCAGCAACAAAGATGGGGACCCTCGGAAACAATACAATGGAGCTGAGCTCCACACATTATCTAGAGCGTTCTCCCTCACTTGTTTTTTTGCTCTCACTCTCTCTGTTTTTATAACTTCGCACGTTTTATTGCTGTATTTTTTTCTGAAATTACTTATATTTCTTGCAATTTAATTATTTTAATAATACTCACTAATAAGATACAGTAAAGGTATATAGAGGTCTACAAAATAGCAAATACAATATCTTCAGTACATCGTATTTTAAATAAATTAAGCAAAGAACATCATTTATTTTCTTTATTATTAAATATTGTTTCAAATACCAAAACAGAGGTATCTTTTATTTCAAAAACCTTCATTTATGTTCTGAGTCTTGTTTTTTTTTTATTTTCCCGCGATAAGTGACGTGCCATGATTCCGTCAAGTCAGCTCGTTTTAATTTTATTACTGTCGATATATAAATTAAATGAAACCCATCTTATTTATTTATTTAACTTACAGGTAGCTTCCCCAAATCCGGCCAATTGCCACGGTCCTTATGAAACGGATCCATTGTCTAAGTTCAATGTTTCAATCAATCACCCTGCCGAACTTAGTTAATCAATTAAACCATCCATCAGACCCTTTTTTATCTTTCGGGGGCGTTCGACTTTAGCCCTCTTTGACTTTTACATTAGCCCCAGAAATTAAATGCCTCTTTCAGATACAAATTTCATGCTGATTTTTCCTTATCGCGTTGTCGTTTGGAAATCCGAGGGAAGAAGAGATTTTAAATGCATCATCAGTGCATCTATGAGTCAAGCGGGTTTACGATTCCCAGCTCGGGTCACAGCCCGGGAACTTTAAAGACTCTCGAAAAAAATAAAACAGAAAAAAAAACGATGATAAGGAAACAGACTTGAGGGCGTCGCAATTTCGAATAAAATCGTTTTTGAAATAAAGGGGGCCGACGAAGAGATGGTGGGGGAAAGTGTTCCAACAACTGCTAAATGCTCTGGCAATCAAGTTATCGAGTAATCGAATATGCAGCAAATCAGATAAATCAAAACATGCAAAACAAATCGTTTGATAAGAGAAATGGGATGAAAACTTTACGAACATGTGTTGGTCTAGTCGACTGTTTTATGAAATTTTTTTGATATTTTGAAATTTTAATAAAAATAAAATACTTCAAGTTTCAACTATATTTTGAATAAGGTATAAATCTTATTTTATTAAGATTTTAAAAATATATATACCCATTTTCCAAGGGTATCGTATGAAAAATGATTTGAAATCGAAAACCCAAATCGAAATCGAATTCGCAGTTGCTACTGTAACGGTTTGGAGCACGCGAAAGCCGAGAAAGATTTATCTGGACATTTCCTTGATGACGATACCGACCACTATCCCCCTTCCAGACTGCGTTGTGTGCGTTGTCAAAATTACATTAAAGCGGAAATCGCCTGCTACGCTTCAGTGCCAATCGACAGAAGACAGCAGACTGACCGCAGATGTAGTAAAAAATAAAAAAGTTAAAACTGCACGTCTCAAATGACTACACTTAGGAAATAAGGTGAACTTTAAAATTTATACATTTCTACAAAACAAAAATGTGTTCTTGATTAAATTCTATCCAGAGGTCAGGATAAAACATTAATAATTTTAATATATAAAATAATATCCTTCAAAAACCTTCTACTTTTTTTCCCAGTGTATAGAGGTTAGTTAGAGAAGTGGAGTAGTGGGATGGACATGCAACACCCGCGACACTCGACGACATAAATCAGGCTGAACCGAAATGAGGGAGAAACCGAGTCGGTGGCGTCTGTAAGGCAAGACACTTGCATTTTAGTTTTATTTTTTGAGGCGAACATGTCCGAACTGTCTACCGCCAATCTCCTTCCCCAGAGCCCCGCCCACTTTTCAGTAGCCCCTTCCACTCCCCCACCAGGCGAAAAAGTGCGTAACTTCAAGAGACGTAACACTGGCAGCAATTTGGCACGCAATACATTAAAAAAAATTTAAGATAAAAAAACTATCATTCAAAGTGTATACCACTCTTAAGTTTCTGAAGTGAAATAAAATACTTAAGTGAATTTTTTCCGGTGTATCTTAGCTGGAGTTGAGGTTGATTTTGGAGAAGGAGTCTCAGTCTGAGACGGGCTAACATATTTCATTCCATGGACATGAGACACGAGACTGCAGTTTTAATTGACATGTGTTCATTAGAAGTGCAGAGGGGGGAGTTACAACCACAAGGAAGTTGGCGTTTTTTGTGGTCAGCCTGTCAAGAAGTAATCCTTATTTAGTAAAAAGAAATCCAAGTGGAAGTGATAGACCTAAATACATACATATAAGATGCAAAAAAGTGATTTGATTGAGAAAGTTTTATGAAAATCTAGTTAATGAAACAACCATTTAGTTGTGGATTAGGGATGGACATAGATAATAATACCTAATCCCGTGAACTACTTGAGAGGGAATAATTTTTTTCCTCTTAAAAATTAAACTTAAAAAAATTGTATTTTTATGAATAAGAATCTATGTATGAATTATATGATAAGCTCATGCCACCCAACGGTTTTACTATAAAAGAAATTATTTCAAAGCAGATCACTCCTTCGCGATGCATATGTCATTTACCTTAATGGCCATGTGGTTAATCCCTAAGTTTTCTAATAATGTTATAAATAGCCTTATATTAATTTACATTTTAAGTTAATTTCGTCAAATAGTTGGGCGACGGGTATTGTCATTGGTAGCTCTGTTTTTAATGCCTTTGTTCTCCTTTTCGGAGGAACAATATTAAAATGTTACTGATTGTGCAGTATTTTTTACCTTAGCCAACCGCTGATATCAGGTTTGAACAAAGGTTTGAATCAGACGGTTAGGTGATTGAGAAAAATACTTCTTTTAAACATACTCAATTATATCAATTGACAACTGTATTAAAAGTTTTCAAAAACAAAACTAATTGAGATAATACCTTAATGCACATCTAATGCCTATAAGAACGATTTGCAACGGCAATTCGTCATAGACTAATTTGAACAAAATAAAGCGATTATTTTTTAATTCGTTTTAAGGGACTTCCGACTTTTAAATTGATTCCAAATTATTTGCATGAAATTTTTTTAGAAGTTCAAATAGATCTGAAAACTGAAAAAGGCATTAATTTCTCTCCAGCCATTAAAATGAAATACTTGGGTGAGCGGAAAACTTTATTTTGTATGAACAGTCTACAAAATTTTATAAAACCGATTGTTTCCCTTTCAAAGTTTGCCTGTTTTTTCTTGCGTCAGTGTCGGCTCGTTTTACTGATGATGTCTACCAGATCCTGGCCAAGGAAAATGCGGAACAAAATATCATTTCCTCACCTCTCTCCCTCGAAATTGTTATGGCCATGGTGTATATGGGAGCAAAGGGAAATACGGCTAAGGAATTGCAAACTGTTTTGAAGCTGCCTGAGGATAGAAATCAAGTGGCCAAAAAATACAGAGAGTTCTTCACAAATCTCGAAGGTCGGGAGAAGGATGCTATTCTTGAACTGGCAAATCGTATTTACATCAATGATCAGTTGAGATTACTACCAGAGTATAACAAGATAGTGGGTGACTCCTTCAAGGCCGAGGCAGTGCCTATTAACGTGGGTAATCCCCAATCAGCTGCTGCGACTATTAACTCTTGGGTATCCCGTCAAACTCGAAACAAAATAACTAAAATTGTGTCTGCTGAATCTATAAATAGGGATTTTATGGCGATTATTATAAACGCCATTTACTTCAAAGGCGTATGGAAGTATAAGTTTGTTAAAGAAGATACTAGGAAAAAAGACTTTCACACTTCATCTAACGAAAAAATTCCGGTTGACATGATGTATTTGGAAGGCTCTTTCTTGGCCGATCATTTTTCTGACTTAGATGCCAAGGTTCTGGAACTTCCATACCGAAACTCAAAACTCTTTATGCAAATATTCTTGCCAAATCGTATTGACGGTCTTAGTAAACTGGAAAGCCAAATCGGAGGCTTCTCCCGACCTCTCCGTAAACAAGATGTTTATGTAAGAATTCCAAAATTTAAAATTGAGTTTGAAAAATCTCTCGATGGTCTTCTTGCCAAGGTTGGTAGATACTTATGAAACTTAAAATTTGCTGTGACAATATTTCCATTTTTAGCTGGGAATCAAAGCGGCATTTAGTGGTGCTGCTAACTTTAGTGGGTTAGTTAAAGATAATTTACAAATCAGTAAAGTACTACAAAAAGGGTTCGTGGAAGTAAACGAGGAAGGTGCTGAAGCTGCGGTTGTAACAGGTAATTATATTTTAAAAATTACTGATATTTTCTTTTATATTTGTTTATTTGTAATATTTTTTATACAATTACAAGCTTTTAATTTTATAAAAATATGTTCGCATTGTCCGGATAATGGACCTCATCCAATGATATTTACAGCCAATCATCCTTTTGCCTTTTTAATTCGTGATAGGGAGACAATATACTTCCAAGGACATATTGTAAGGCCATAAAAATGACTTCTGATTACTTCTTTTAGAGATAATATACATATGTGCCCATTGTAGAAAATGCTGTATTTTCAATAAAACTTTAAAAGAGGTTTCGTTGGTTTCTTTTCTTTGTATCTCTTGTTTTTCTCTTTGTTTTTCATTTGTTTTGTGGCTTAGATATTAGTCTTAAATATTAGTTTTTTCCTCCATTGGAGGTCACTTCTAATTAATCTTCGGCCACTCAAAACTGTATGACGTTCAAATAGGACGACAGCTTGACCCATCGGCTATTATGGAAATATAAGGAAAACGGCTACCCACAGTCTACGATAAGGGCCATAAATGTAAATTTCCAAGGTAATTTTGATTCACAGAAAGTGGAGAGCTAAAATATTAGTTTTTGCAAAAAAGTATTATTTCCTATAAAAAAAAGAGAAAACGAGTCTATGTAACAGTTCTTAATGCGATTTAAACACATTAGACATGGATTTGAACACCTCGGCATACCATCTACAAATTAACCATTACATTTCTTACCATTACGGTATTTTTGCTATAAAAACAAGTGATTTCTGGCATGTTTTCGATTTTATTTCCAAAAATAAGAAATGAAATACTTGGGTAGGTAAAAAAAAGATTCCTCTCTCATTTGACATTGTATTTAACCTTCGACAACTAACAACTTAATGACGTCCAAGTGACACAGCTGTTTGACCTTTCGGCCTTTTTGGAAGTATAAAGGAAACGAGTACACCAAGACTCCGATAAAAGTTATAGGCGGTCATAAATTAAAATGCAAATAAAAAGCCTTTAAGAAGGACGAGAACTGGGTATCCTTTAATGCTTAAGAAAAGGCCTTGAAATAGGCTAAAGATTAGGGGGGAAAGCAAATAATTAATGCTCTGTACTGTCTTTCATTTATGATCGCCCTAATTATGGCCAATATTTGGGCAATAAAAAAAGACGTTCAGTCACCAGAGAAAATGTTGCTAGGCTTCGTCATCACTTTTGTGTTTTCCCTCCTACTAGACAAGCTAAAAAGTTTTAATTAAAAATAATAAATAAATAAAATAAAATATATAAAATTGCGCATATAAGTCCAGGAAGTTCTGTGAAATGGATTATCAACCAGAAGGCTCATAAATCTTAAATCAACTTAAATTTTATATTTCCTTTTTGACCAGAAGAAACCCGGAAGTGAAGCCAGGCGCTTCTGCTTTTTGGTTCCTCAGCTTAAGTCAAGCGCTTAGAAATTTCTGCAGGCCATGAAAACTTTGTTCGCAAACTCTTGCCGAACCTCTTACGCGAAATTGTTGGATTTTCAGGAAAGGGATTCAGGGTACTCTGTTTTCTTTCAAGGGTCTAAAGGGGAATACTAGTTAGCTCATCCAGCCAATATGAACAGAGGCAAAAGGTGCAAGATAAGATAATGCTCTGTCGATTGTTCAAAGTTTTGGATAAACCAATAAAAGCGAAAGTTCAAGCCACTTATGAGTGCCACGAGAAATAACAAAAACCAAGACCAAAAGAGGATAGAGCATGTACTATTTTATATGGGAATATTAAGTAAAAATAATAGTAACAAATTGGAGTAGTTGCCAAGCAGTTAACAAATTGCTTGCCTAAACGATTTGCTTACAAGTGCGCAACTAATTAAGGATATGTAGGGACACATGAGCTCGAGCCACAAGGACACCGCCGTCTCCGCCTCCGCTCTACTTTGGCTAGCACACGTGCCACAAGTGGCAAGTGGGACGAAGAAGAAGGAACAGCAGCAGGATTAATGAGCTGGCACATGAGGCACTTTCAACGCCAAATAGAAACCCGAGAGACAAATGTGCCAACAACTTAATTTGGAAAAAATGTGGAAATTAAAGAAATGCACTCGGGACAATTAACAAACTGTCGACATTTCTAGTCTAGGGGTTATCTAGTTTTTTTTTTGGGTGGACCAGCTGCGTTCAAAGGAAACGCATTTAAATTTACAAATAATAAAAAATTGTCAAACGCCTGCCCAACGCCTACGTTTTTAAAGGACCTACGCAATATCCTTATCTCGGGATCGTCGCAAATGTTGCGTAACTAAGTGAGACCCAAGGACCTTAGGGCACACTTTCACCCCGCTTCCTTTTCTTTCACTTCTACCTGCCCCAGAGGTGAGATTTCCCAGGGATCCTCGAGCCAGGATCCCGGCCTATCTTATCCTTAATTGAGTTGTCGGCACGCACACTATCCTCAAAAAAAAGAAAACTAAAGAGCATTTTTATCCAACACACTTTTTGACACTTTGGGTGAGCATTTAAATGTCGGGGATCAGGACCAAGACATGTGGTGTCCTAGCAACTGAAGCGTTTCAGGATGCATAGGACATGAAGTTGTGAATGCCAAGAATTTTATTACAGGGGCATATAATTAAATGGAAAGGGACAAACAAATTAAGAAACTGTTTCTTAGAACTTGCACTTGAATATATTTTGAGACGAATGTTAAGAAATAAATAAATAAATTTTAGTTCATTTCACAAAGATAAACTTTCTTCATTTATAAATTTAAAGAATAAATCGATAGAACTAACTTTCTAAATTTGTTGACCTTTTCCAAACGCATCTGTCCATTCCCATTCATTGACAAGTTTATCGTCATACTCATTGAAAATCAATAAAAAAGGAATAAAATATACTGGTAATGCAATTACTGAACCAGACTACCTTGACCGTGAGGGGAGGCGGTTTGAAAAACCCAAGGGGCCATCAATTATTTGCACACAATTTGCACACGAAATGACGGCAATTAGCTGTGAGACACCTGCCAAATGGGAGCACACCTGAGTGGTGTTCCGTTTTAGATGTAAACAGGGGCCACAACTAGAGCAAAGACAAATAGTTGACCCCGATCCAAAAGAAAAAATAGTACTAGGGACGGGACCGAATGAGGAAGCCAAGTTTCCTGGCTATTGTCACGTGCTGAACTCGTTTTTGAATGGGGGTTAAATTGGAACAGAAAATGCTGAGGGTTAAGGGAGCTAAAAAGAACAAAAACTACTGTCTGCATATGCAGACTGATTTTATCTTAAAGTAAGAATCACTTTCATTGACATTAAGCTCTCATGCCTTCATGTAAAAAAAAGATATAAATCACGAACAAAAGCTTTATTTTTGTCATCCTGCTGAAAGTCAAATGTGACTAATAAAATGAAATCCACCAATTTAGAGTCATCTTTGGAGCAGTGCCAATTGTTACACAAAACTTTCATCTTATTAATACTTCATTGGAGAAAATGTGTCACCGCCCAGCCCCCACAAATTCTTTTTCGAACAACTTGTTTACAAGACAAAGTTCTGAAGACGAACTGAATGTTCTGTCAAAGGAAAACAATTCAATTTCCCGTGGAAAAGCAGAGCACATAACTGCGAATGTCCTCGAGAAATGTATGGAATGAGGTGGGGGAGTGGGGTTATATAGGGTGACCCAAATGTACACCAAACGGAAATGGAGAATATCAAATAAAAATGCAAAAATAAAACTAGGAGCAGCCATAAAAAGTCCAGCTACCACACTGAGAAATAAAAATATCAACAAATTATAACCCCATTTTCATAATTTTTATTGATAAAAAATTCCACACAAGACTCCATATTTTTAACTAATAAATTTATAAACTTCATTTTGTTGGGATCTTGATTCTAGTAACTCCAGTTTCCTATCTGTATTGCCAGCAACCATCTCTGAATGCTTCAAATCAGTTGGGCAAATAGAACCAGTTGTGAGGGGACGAATCGCATGAAATTCCGAGGGGGGATCCACAGATATGTGCTGGTGGGGATTCAGGAGCTTGGACCCTGCCCGACTGTCTGCCCGGGATTCATAAATAAAACAAAGTGGCGCCAACTCGCGACAAAATGACGCGACGCCTCAATATTTGTTGCGGGTGTTTCCTTCCTTGGGTTTTTCTCCATTTTTCCCGCCCTGCTGCGTGGCCCCAATTGTTATTCATTGGCTTCACTTGCCAAGGGAAGCGCTCTCGCTTTTCTAGCTTTTTTTTCATCTATGCTAGATTTTCCGTATATTTTTTTGCTGACCCAACTCCGCCGAATATCGATTTTCTGGCTGTAACATTTGTCTGGCTTTTGGGGTTTTCCAGCTACAAAGAGCAACTAGTTGTGGTTTTTCCGGCACTCCTTCCATTTCCTATTTTTTTTTTCATTTTCCAAATTGCAACAAGGATCCATAGTGGGTGGAAACATTGGTGGCGGAAAACTGCGGAAAGCGTATTGATTGTTTTCTCGATAAGCGCCTGTCGCACATGAAGGAAACCAGAGTTTTCATTCAGAAGGGGAAAATTTGCGATAGTTTAGCAGTTGATGGGGTTTAGTTTTTGGAAAAGAAACTTTTAAGAAAACATCTCCATTTGTTAGGGGTTTTATGGAGCCCTAAAGTAAACGATCCTTTAAGTTTAAAACATAATTTAAAGGACTTATTTGTAACAGTTTAGAATGATTTTTGTGACCCAAAATATATTGGCATTATCCCTCTTACCCCCGTATGCAAATTGCAATTTAATAAGGCCACCGAAATCGATTGGTGGATGCAAATTTATGAGAGAAATGTCCTTGAAGCCATTTAGGAAACGAATTATGCATGCCCACTCGTTAAAGAGACAAACATCAAGTCACGCACCCCCTCCACTTCCATACGAAAACGACCAGTTATCTAAAAATGGCAAAAAGCGCATTTTTCCATTAAAATTTATGGGCCTTAGGGAGCATAAAAAGCGAGGGGTGAGAGGAATGTGTGCCAAAGTGCAAAAATGTGCAGAAATTAAGGCGAAAAGGGGAGGGTAGGTACTGCGCTTCGGGGGGTGGCATGCAAATTTCTGTTGCCCCTGATGAGGTAATTAAATTGTATGGGACGAGGGAACCCAAAAAAAAAATTTTGTCGCCTTTTTATACCCTAAACAGAGTGGGTTTTCCACATTTTGTAGCCATATATTATATAGCCACTGCATTTTTTTTATTACTCGTAATCGAGAGTATTACAACTTTCGTCTATGCAAATTTCATTTCCATTTTTTATTTCCATATTGCCATTTTTTTTCCTCCTGTTGATTGC